AGCATGTCTCATGTTATCTTTCATAGTCTTCAAATAACACCTTCTTCATAAGAGATATTTATCATCCTTTAATAACTGTGATAACATGATGATTCGAAAATAGTTCTTGGTGATCTCGTCGAGCGTTTCACATAAGAGTATACTTCTTGAGGGTAAATGCCTTGTAGGTTAAGGATATCATTATACAAAAAATATGCCTCAATAAAACCTTATTAGGAAAAACCATGTGATAAAAATCCTAATGAATGAAAAAGAGTACATAATTCATTTGAATACGCTATAAAAGTCGTTTCATTAAAAACCTTGTCAGGAGAATCCAATGAGACAAAACCTTGGTCAAGAAAAAAGAGTACAATGTGTATTTACTCCCCCTCATGATAATATCACTTGAATTATGCTTCAAGCATATTAAATCTTTCAAGGTAACATTAGTAGCCACGCCAGATGCATTGGCTATAATCAAATTCGTAATATGTATATCAAATTTCATGCATTGTCACTTTAATGAAATAGAGACTTGTAATTACATCCACCACATGATAACTTATCTATTTATATAAATCTTCACGATATTTATTATGTAAAAAGTTGTATATTTCATATTAGGACTTTACTTTTTCATTTTCATTTTGCATAAATATACACCTTTTCGTGTTCGGATTATAGATCCAGAAATTTCAGGTTTTTCTAGTAAGTTCAATTTTACTAGGAACGCATCCATTTTATTTTGCCAATCATTATTTTGATTTATGACAAAATTGATTTCGATATCCTTGATATTCATAATATAATATAGTATAGTACATCACCTGCAAAAATATTGTCGACAATTCTTCTTTTCGATTATATTTCTTTTTCCATAATGACAAAATTTATTGAGATGTCTCAACTTTCAACATATCAGGTAACGAACCTCTTCTGAGATTTTATAATTTGTTATGTCTAAATACTCATCAAAAGTATATGCCTTCTTAATTGGGACCATCTTTGCTAATTGCTTCATCTTCATTTGAAATTTTTTTTTTTATTAGAATCGAATGCTTCCATGCTTCAAGCATAACACAAATATGTCAAATATAATGTTATCAAATTACCCTCTTAGGATATCAATTTGTATTGGAACATTTAAAATTTGTGCGTGAAATATTGTTTTTTTCTTTGATCAATAAATGCATCTAAATAAATTATATTTCTAACTTCTTATTCGAGTGATCTTTTATGAGAATTTAGATGATGATACATTTATACATTATTTTCAACTTCTTAATTCCTCCCTCTAATACTAAGAGAATCATTCAATTAAATTGAGAATAAGCAAATTGTGCTATCAAATATCACCCATTTGAGAAAATGGTTAAAACTCCCTATTTATTTTCAACATTCTTTACTTTCCATCTTAGTGCATTATGGTGGTTTAATTTTACGCTGCACTGTGAAAATAATTAGATGAAAAAAATTAGGCTCTCACCGTAAACTAATTATAACGGGAGAACTATGATTTTGACATGATGAAATAAAAATAGGAATATACTTTGTTCTCAATTAAATTAATTGGAAGCTTTTAACAAACAATTTATCAACATCCCAACAAACACTCATTAAAATGTTGAGATTTATGCCCACTAGCATTAAAAAGACTCAATTTTTTATTGTATAATTTGAAAATTATGTTCATAATTTAAAATTTGAGTAGTAACTTTGCAAACTTTAGGTTGCAAACACTATACAATCATCTAGTATATGTATCAAATCTATTAAATACAAATAATATTTAGATGATCAACGTGAAAGATATGAGGGCCCTTTTATCATCATGATTAATTTTTTGAAATATAGGGAATTCAGTCCCTGTTTTAACTATTGATGATCAATAAAATAATTTCACGAAAGAGAACAAACATCATATAGAATTTCATTGGATTGAAAAATCTTTTGGTTCTTTAATGATTATCCATTTGAATTTTTTTCGGCATCATTGTTGGTCCAGTGATTGTCCAACTGGTCATGCCAAACAATAAAATTGAATTGAACTTTTGGTTCCGTATAAGATATAATACAGTTACTTAATTTTAAAGAATATGATTAAATATTATATAATTATATAATGATCAATGTTCACATGACTTAAGTCGTATGTTTTCCTTTAGGGATAAAAACAAATTCATAAATTATACATGATATATTCTTCAAAATATGTGTTATTTCAAGAGCATGTTGTATTTTATTATCGCTTCTTTAAGAGCAATATCAATATTCATTTAAAATATTGGAATCGTGGTGTTATGCTCTCTAGAAACAATAACATGTTATTATTCAAAATAATAAATTGTATAAAAATTTACTTTTCAAGAATAAAAACATAATTTATGTTAGATCGTATTTAATTATGCTCTTCGGGAAAAAGTAAAGTCTAACTAAAATATCTGTCAATAATAGTGTGCAACTTCAGGAGCAATAATATTCCTTCTAGAATATTAATAATATTGTGCAATATCATGAGTACCAATAAATTATTGTTTAAAAATATTAACTTTTCATGAGTATGTTTTCTAGACAAATATTAATATTTGTAGAATTGTACTTCTTCGGGAGTACTTCGTATTTTACTATTGCTTCTTCAATAGCAATTAATCAAACTTTATATTTTATTATTGCTTCTTCAAAAGTAATAAATCAATATCTTCATTCGAAAATTAAAAAATTGTAATTTATGCTTTTCATGAACAACACATCAACATTTTTCTGAAATATTGAAAATTATAATTCTTGCTCTTTGGGATTAAATAATATATTTCTGGAATATTAATAGTGTTGTACTCTTCGGGATCAACAACGAATTATTATTTAAAAATACGAACTTTTCAAGTACGTGCTTTCTAATAGAATATAAATATTTCGAGATTAGTGCTTCTTTAGAAGCAATTATCTTCATTTAGAATATTAACAGTGTTGTACTACTTCAGGAGCACCAACAAATTATTTGTAATAAAGAGGCTTTAGAAACTAAAATTATAAACTATAATATGTATTTAAAAAAAATATGAACTTCATAATTAATCGAATGATAAACAAGAAACAAATAATTAAATACATCACATGCAATTTTTTAATGAAAAAATAATCGTCATATTTTTATTTATTTATTTTTTAATTATGGAACAAAAATTATGGAATCAATTGCCTGTTGCACAAATATGAATTTTTGATTTGCCTATTGCATTGAACTTAGCTGGATGGTTCCGCGATGATTAAAGGCGCTATATTTCAACATCCTATACTTCAAATACTTTTCTTTTATTTCTGAAAAATCCCTCTGTAAATTGGATAATTTGGGAGCAAAAGTCTACCCACGAAACTTGAATACAATATACGTACGTGGCAGTCAATTCACCCACTTTCAATCCCCCCTTTTTTCACAATTTTCAATATATATATATATATATATATATATATATGAGAGAATCAGAAAAAAGAATTCATTTGACGGGGCAAGTTTCATGTATTGGGATTATTGTGCTAATAACGTGTTATAAAACTAAAAGAAAGAAAGAAAATATAGAAAAATCAGTAGACTTGTGTGTATTATCAAGAACCAATACCCTATATTTATATGTCCAAAATAAAAGTTATAATTGAAATAAAATAGATTTTCTAGACTGGATAAAACTTATTTATGTATTATGATAACACTAAATAATCATCAATAATTATCTCATTATTTTACAATATCCTTAATTATGATTTTAGTTAAAAAAATATTGTTAATGTGCTTTAAAGCGATGGTCAAATATTTAATCTCATTTTCGCATTATTATTTGTTTTGCTTTTCTAAAAGTACAATAGACAAAAGAGTCTTTTTATTCTATATTAAAGAAAATTTTGGAATGAAACTATAAGCACGACCGATTTATATTGACTTAAGAATAAGAATTGATTAAAAAAAGTTTGGGATATAAATGTGACAACATGTAAAATTTATGAATTTTTTTATATAATATAAAAATATAGTGTGTAGTTATTAAAACCAGTTCCTGAAATGTCACACACCTGTTCCATGAGACACTTCAATCTCTATAAATAGGGACCCCCAGATTCGTTTTTTGACACACCAAATCAATTACGAATTCAATTGATTTCTACATTCTTCTATCTCCATATTCTGCTCGTAAAAAATCTCTTATACTTCCGTCATTATTCCGTTCAAGTACGATCATTCATTGGTTCGACCGACAAGGTTGGTATTGTGCAGTATCGACTTTGGAAGGAGCGTTGTATCTTGGGAGACAGACGTCCATAATCCCGTTTGCACTTCATTGGGGGGCGAAATCTGTCTTAAGGAGATTTGCTTACTTTATTGGCATACCTCGCTTCATTTACTGTCTATTTTTCTGCTTATTTTATTTCTTCTTTTGATTGCGTTAGTCGAATTTCCGACAACAGATAGCACATTCATTTTGGACATCTTGGTTAGACATTCCATCACCTGTAAAAACTCTGGCCATTGATTTGAACAAGTCATGTTACATGTACACTTTGTTTGACATCATTTCGACATTGTGCCGTGTGTCGTAACATAAGCGGACAGTTTTAAAATGAAGCATACTTTCCTGCCCATTTCAATTTGGAAATCAATGGAGTGTCAACCATAACGTGAACAAAAGAATGTACAAGTGGCTTATTCCTATTCAAATAAGTGGCCAGATTGCCAGCCACGTAATGAAATGTCAACAAAACTGTCGGCTTAGCAAAACTCGAAAGCAACTTGTAAGGGAAGAGTGCCCAAGTAGTTGTAAATCCATAACTCAAGCTTAGTTTTGCAATGGAGGACTCATTAAGAATATTACAATAATCTCTTGGAATGATTGATTTATTAGTTCCAGATTACTAGGTTTCTGATGCAGATTAATCGAATAATATTTTCTATAGCTTGTTATATGATTATTATATAAGGAATATAAATTGTTTTGGAATTAAGATTCTGGCATGGGGTTTATGTATAGGCAGGGGATCCTCTGTATGTTCTTCTGTGCTGTTGGTTGGCTGCAGTTGGAGCTGGTTTGCTCAAATCTGAGGAGATATTGGAAGGGGTTGCAAGGCTTCGGATTTCAAACGATATTGAATTTGAAGAAGAAAATTTTATTGCAATGATGAACGAAGCAAGAGAGGTTAGTTTGTTGGGAAGCTGTATTCTTTTACTGTCAGTAGATCTTGCTTTTCCTAGATTACAAAAGAACTGTTGACGGATTTTGATGTCTACGAGCTTTGAGATAAGGTGGTTCTCGAGTCTTATCTCACATGTTTTCTTTTGATAGAAAAATTGAACCTGACCAGCATGTAAAATTACGTGTTAAAGATAAGATGTAGATAGATAAACTAGTACTTTCCATTAGAGCGTAAGTGCCAATACCAACTTTTCACGAAATAATATAATCATGAAAGTAGTGTGTGAAATAAAATATGGATATATAAACTTGTAATTTCTCTCCTAAATGCTTAAACTTGTAGACAAGTTTGTTCGACACCAACATTTCACGAAATATAAACCATGAAGTACCCTAGTCGAGCGGAAAATAAGATTTCCCTTTGTGGCTCTCATTTACATGGTTGAGTAATGAATCAATATTTACAACACATGATTTGCAATCATACAATTTGCCTTGTAATGCAAAATTGGTCGAGAAAAGTACTGAGTTTTGTGTTTAATTCTCCTTTAGAACTTGGAAAATCCTGCAAATTTAATGCAATTATAACTTGTACTTTGTAATGACTCAATTGGTTTCTAGTTTTAACAAAAAGCTATATGAACTTCACAATTGAGAAGATCAAACTATACTAATAATGAGTGATCCTGCTTCAGTTGGTTTTTGGCTCATCAAACTTGTGCTACCTTCAATGTGTAAGCAGCTGGTGCTGATAAATTGGCTATACATTCTATAGTTCTAGTGTGAGACCAAAAACCATAGAACATAAGAGTTAAAGTTTGCTAAAAATCATTACTATAGATGTACATTATAGAGCACTAGCAGGCAAGCCTTATGCTTGTTGCTCATCAATCCCCTCCGGAAAGAGGATCTGTTACTGTGTCATTGGAGGAATAGAAGCAGAGACGTTATTTAGGTCTATTGACGTTTCTTTTGTCAATTTTTAACTTACTAATGCAAGAAGTTGATTGTCTTCTCTGCAGAAAAGGGCAAAACTAAGATCTCCGGTCCCATCTATTCCAATGGTAGTTCGTGCTGAGAAGGCCCTTGAAGCTATTTATGTATGTTGCTATGGGAGAGATCCGTTGGAAGAAGAAGATGAAAGACTACTACGTATCATACTCAATGCCGTATTCCCCACAGTTGGGCAGCCACAAATCGAAACAATCATAAATGAGAAGGCAAAGAGAGTGGCCGAAGGAACAGATGAAATCAAAATTTCGGAGCCTATGCCCTTATCCAAAGAAGCTGTGCAAATGCAAATGAAGGATTTACAATTCCTTAGACAAGGAGACGAGAAGTCTTGATACAGCTTATTTCCTATGACTTTGATGTGAAACCGAAATTGGTGAATTCCTATTGGTTATGACGGCACGAGAAATTGGAATCTAGAGCTCAAGAAAGTACCTAAGGATCTAGATTTTGATATTGAGGAATTTTCATACTTTGATGAGCACAAATTTCTGTCCTTTGTCAATATAAATATAGAAACGGGAACTAAATGAATTACCTTCATTGATGCCAGCTATTTGCTACGTTTTTCACAAAGATTTTCATTGTTATGTGTAGTAGTTGATTAAATGTTGGACTCTTAAATTATTTTTCCTTTTTCTTACTCTCATCTCCAGTATCCATTTTTTTTAAAAAAAAAATTAAAAATAGAACTTAATATCCATCAAATAATAGAAAGAAGCAAGGAAAAAAATTGTGATTTATCACAACTTGAAGAAATGGATAATAAATTCTAGGAGATCGTTAGAGAATGCCCAAATGTGAGCTTCTTAGGCCTAGTTTGACATGCTTTAAGCACGGTTCAGTTATGTCGTGAACCAAACCGACCCACTCCTAAAGTTGAGCTGTGTATATGACAAAGGCCAGCTTGCCACATCACAGATTGAACCGGACCCATATAAATTTAGTGCTAAAGGTGACCCACTCCTAGAGTCGTGTATGGCCTCTAAGACCAACCTGCCACGGATCCACCAAACTGGACCCATATAAATTTAGTGCTATAGGTGAACAAGAAGGCTCAATTTACACGTAATTTTAGTGCTAAAGGTAACCCAAGAAGGCTTGATATTCAAGTCTACATGAAAGTTACGTCCTAGGCAGAAGTGAACGACCATTGCAACTTCACGCAAGCTCACAGTAATAGACAACTAAACCATAAAGTTCAGATTTTCAACCTTAGAATCCACAAATACATATACAATCTTCACTTAATAATGTCAGGAAAAACATCAAGCATTCCAGATGAAACTCAAAACATTTAAGAAACTGCACTTTGCACATAAGATTAATATATACGAAATCTCATAACAGGGACAACGATGTGTCTTTAACACAGACAACCAAGGTTCCCATGTTATGTATTATGGAATGATTCTTATTACTCCACCAGCTGTACTGATAGCCAACTGCCATGGGACAGTTGGAGTTTCTATTCATAGAGACGACTTCTGAATCCTTCAAGAACTTCCTGTGCATCAAGCAAACAAAAGGACCAGTAAAACAACAAATTTATCACCCTGCCAATCTCCTAATACCACATTCTGCCTGATTTAAATATTTTGACCCCATATAGAAGGAATTGTGTTGAAGCAGTTACTCCTCTAAAACATTGACCAATTCGTATTCCACCAACGACAGGTTATTATCTTCCTTGACAGTGAAGCTGGCTGGTTCAGTAACTTCTACACGTCCCCACTTATCCACTGCAAGCCTCATTGATCCCTTGAACATGTCAATTTTTGCATTTCGTAATATTATTGTAGCTTCCGGCTTCATCAGGTCCACTGCACGATCGATGTGTCAACAGAAATGCAATTAGACTCGCACACCTCAATTCTACATAAATATGAAATGAACACAATCGCAGCTACACCAAATTTATAACTCCAAACTCACGGACCACGGTTAACTATGATTAGCTTAAGGCATTCACTAACAGCAAACTGCAAAGTGAACTAGAGGCCGACTTATGAATAATAGTCAACCAGAATTCCAATTGAGAAATAAAACCCTAAGTGCGTGAATCGCGCAACAAAATCTGTAGAAGAATAAATTATGTTAAACTAAATAAACCATGACATGATAAGGTACAGGAAACGGTAATGCACAAACCTTAGCAGCCAAGGAAATTGAGAGTGCAGCAAATCTACATCAAAGTTTAAATATTAAACTAAAATATAAAGTTAGCTGTGTCAAATTAGCTTACATTCCTTGCATAATAATTCCTAATTCCACATTATCTGAAAGCTAATTCTTCTACATCATCAATATTCATAAGCTATTGAAGCACAGAGAAAGGAGAAGTAAAAATATAAGAGCAAATTAAAGGATGAGAACAAATTTGAAATTGTTAGAAATAAAGGGGGCAGCAACAACTATAAATGCTGCTACTAGAGCCTTAATATCACTCCAAATGGACAGTGAAGTGTGATAGGGGAGAAATTCGTAAACGACGGAAGTGAACAAAGGGCCTTAATGCATCAGATATTTATCATAAAATGCCATAACTATAATGATAAGGACCAAAATTGGCACAACGGCACTACCATACCTTGGTCATTCCTTGCTGTAAACACAATGGTCCCAGTTTCATCTCCAACCAAGCATTCGGCAATCCGCATTTGACGTAGTTGGGGCCCATCTGGCCTGCCCTTCTGCATTACCACATTGGCACTCACAACTTTTACTACAAGATTGTGTCCATTAGTTCCAGGCCTGAGCTGATCAACCTTGGTGAAAACTGGCTTCCTCATAGCTGATTTTGCTTCAGCCATTGGAAAGAAACCCTACAATATGGCAATGCAATCCCCTGTTAGAAATAAAGGGGGCAGCAACAACTATAAATGCTGCTACTAGAGCCTTAATATCACTCCAAATGGACAGTGAAGTGTGATAGGGGAGAAATTCGTAAACGACGGAAGTGAACAAAGGGCCTTAATGCATCAGATATTTATCATAAAATGCCATAACTATAATGATAAGGACCAAAATTGGCACAACGGCACTACCATACCTTGGTCATTCCTTGCTGTAAACACAATGGTCCCAGTTTCATCTCCAACCAAGCATTCGGCAATCCGCATTTGACGTAGTTGGGGCCCATCTGGCCTGCCCTTCTGCATTACCACATTGGCACTCACAACTTTTACTACAAGATTGTGTCCATTAGTTCCAGGCCTGAGCTGATCAACCTTGGTGAAAACTGGCTTCCTCATAGCTGATTTTGCTTCAGCCATTGGAAAGAAACCCTACAATATGGCAATGCAATCCCCATCAAGGGCATAAATAAAGCATATTGAACTTTAAACAAATGGAAGCCAATAACTGTCCTCCTTCCCCCTTAAACACACACACAAGCAGAGGAGACAGAATATTCTATTTGTTGCAAGAATAGCAATGTTATACCATGATACAAATCATTTCAGACAACAAATTGCTGCACAGATCAACGCCCAGGCACAAACTAGAGGAAGCAACACTTTCACAATAAATATACACATTGTTTAGAAAAGCACCCAAGGCTTTACCCCTTTAGTTGTGGCACAGGTGATGTTTTCAGTACAAACCTTGAAATTACATTTTGAGTGCCATTTGTCCAGACTTATGTCTTGACTTGCTGAAGCATGCACCTCAAGAAGTATGAGCTGTGAGCTTGTTCTTTCTTATTTCGTGGCTTTTTATCATTAACCACGGCTTCTTAAGCTGGTCACTTATAGCTTAGAATAATTAAGAGTTTTTTGATTATTTCAAACACAAAACAATCAACTTAGATAAGGAAATGAAGAAGAGCGCACGTAAAGCAAGCCAACTTTTCAAGAGCGGATGAATGGTGAACAGTGCCATATGACAACTAAATATTTTTGTAGCTTAATATTTTCCTTGTTGCCCTTTCTTTTTTTGCCTTCACAGGGAAGGGGAAGACATTGTTGCAGATGGAGAATAAAGGCAATTGAGAAGAAATCAATAGTGACAACCAACGAGGAAAAATGACATGGAAATCAGATATCTTTACTCTTAAAAACCCATTGTCCATTATTTCCTAAAAATGAAAATCTAGATTGGCTACAACTTACTATATTGCTAGATCAATAAAACATAAAATTAATAAAATGCATAAAGTGTAGATACATAATATTCCACCCTATAAAGTCTAGGATTATAATAGTGGATTGTTACCTTAGTTTATATTTTCATATTTAGGAAATACTAGACAATATGGAGCAAAACGTGCTCATTGATTTTAGAAGATCATAGTTTCATCATTTTTCTGTATCAAAATGCTAACTTCGTATTGCATTTCCTCCGAAACAATTAATATTCTGGAGTTCTTAATTTTATGGAATAAATCTGTCATTCTCTTTTCTCCCTTTATTAGTTTTACTTTCATGCGACCAAGTTGTGTTCTTAACATATTGGTAACTGACGATTTACTACTAGCTACTTTACTAATCGATTTTTTATAACTTATTTTTATTGGTATTTATTGAGATTTATTCTTAGGTCGAGGTGCTGAGTACTCAATTGCACCTTTTTAAACTTTGCAGGTACAGACATATACACTAAAATATATATTATCTCAATTGTATTGCAAGATAGGACAATACCTGACTTTAAAATCACCTACGAAAGGAAGAAGAATATAATCAGATCACAAAGAGAGAAAATCTTATGCGAACGATTAATTGAATAATTACAAGTAACAGACCTAAACGCAGTTGTCAAAAGCTCAACTCATATATATGCACAGAGATACTTCAAAGAGATAAAAATTCATATAGAAAAACCCTAATCTTCAGATCAAACTAATTGAAAAATGAAATTCTTTAAACTAATAACTATATTAAAAATCGATCCAATAATGAGAAATTTGAATTACCTTTGACGAGGACACAGATTGAGAATTGGTAGATCGAGAATGTGATTCGGCGATCTTCTTTCACTCCGCTGCTGAATGATTTCGAGAACCGACTAAGAAATCGCCCTTTTGAATGAAAAGTTCTTTTGGGTTGTGACCGTTGATCTTCCGCATTTTCTCAGCTAATCTCTGCCGTCCACGTTTCGTGATTCTAAAGCTTTTGCTAACCCGGTAAAAATCACTATTGTTAGCCCCTGTTTCAAACTACTATTTTTCATTTTTTTTCCCTACTTATTTTAAATCATATATTCACGCAATAAAATATTTTACTTAAAATTCCAATAATTTTTTTAACTTTCTTACAATCTTTAGAACCTTTTATTAAAAAACTTCGACATTGAAAGATAAAAAGTTCAATGATTTATTTTTTGATCTGTAAAGAGAAGTCACATTTATTTCTATTTAATGCGGATAATATGTAACTTTCTATAATAACTAATTTTCCAATTTTTCAAATCTTTAAACAAATATTAATAATATATTTAAAACTTCCAAATGAACAACAAAACAAATAGATGAAGTATATTTATTTAATGGCATAAAATATCAGAATTTGAAAACAACATATTTGTAATAGCCTTAGAGCAGCACTTTACAGTTCAACAAATTTATTTCTTTAGATTTTTTCTTTCTTTAACTCTCTTAGTTATTTTCTTGACCTTCTAAAAAAGGATTAAGACTCTAATCAAAAAGATTTTTATCATGTTTAAAAATGTTTAAACAAACTCCCTTAATTGGAATACAAAAAAGTTAATTTAACTTAGAGGAAATCACCTTATCTTTTGACAATAGAATTCAGAATAAAGGGGTTAAGAGCTTTAAAAATGTGTTTGAAAAGGAAATGTAACATTACTTTTGAATAAATTAATTGCTTATTTGGTGTTTTCTCATTTAGACAATTCCCGAAAATAAATAAAATAAAAGAGAATTATAAAACAAGAGAAAATATGAAAAGAACTTACTTTAATTTGATGTTTTTGAATTTACAAAGATTGTGAGAGAATTTTTGAGTATAAGTGTTATATTGTGTGCTTTGTATTTTTTGGTGTGTGATATTAGTATTTATAGACGCCAGTACATCACGTCTATTCTTTTAAAAAGAAATAAATATTATACAACTTTATAAGTGTGATTTACAATTAAGGAATTAAATGTTATTTTACAGTTGTATGAAAAATAATAAAGATTCTTTTGAAAATTTCGTCTTCACGCCCTCCTTTTTTTTACGATCCTGGGCGCTTGAGTCTGCTTACGGATACCTCGACTAATCTCATAAGGCTTTAAAATTTACAGTCGGGTACTTACCTCAATTGTCTTTAGGGAACTTGAACTGGTGACTATTGGGGAGTAAATCCAAAACCTGACCATCGTGTTATCCCTCAGTATCACGTCCCCCTTTTTTACTTTCTTTGTTAATAATTGTTTTTCGAGTACTATTCATCTGTCCTTGCTTAGTCTTTTATTCTATTTGTCCATCATCTCTATATAGGCTTATTTTAGGTCTGTATCCATTTAATTAGTTTTGCCATCAAATATACACTATTCTTTTTCTGTATCTGATTGACTTTCTGTTAATTCGTTATTTGTTTCTTGAAAAGATATCATATATAACTCTTTTTGTTGAATATCTGGTACTAGAATTTTTCATGTTTTTAACTCTTATAGCAAGATGTTTTTGACAGATAATAACTCCTTTGTTTCACTGTGCTATAAGTTTGGAATCATTATTTTGAACTTCTATCATTGTCGCGTTTTCTAAGATCTATCTTTCGTAATCAATTTATCTAAGTTCTATTTTAGTATTTGTCTTCGAAGAAAGTCTAAATCTTTTTTCTCATTCGTATATTAGAATATAATGATAAGTTGGAATTACTATATCATTATTTGCAAGAGGTGCTCTAGAAATGAATTGGATAATTAAAGGGTAATAATTTAACTGATTAAGAAGCTGTTTTAAGTTTAGGTGGGAAGAATCTGAAGGATGTGTATAAAAATACGCATATAGTATCTATCATGCCAAACTGTAAAGTTGGATAAAAAATGTTTTTTCTTCAAAGATTTTATAGTCAAATGAAATTGTAGGATAATTGTGTCTAAGAAAGCTAAATTTTTAATAGATGATTCGTATTTAGGGCAATGTTCAAGAAAATATCGATTTTCCTTGTAATAGTAGCTTAGCATTTGAGAAAAATCGATTATCTCCTGTACGACTGACTTCTTTATAGAATTTTTAACAATACTAGCACAATCACCAATTTTCTATTCTAATTTATATAGTCTTTTTCTTTTCCTGTAGCTATAGAGTCCGTTAATTTAATAGGTCTTTCTATTGTAGAAGCAATATCTTTTAAGATGGACCTTTCAACAGTATCTCTAAAACTGAGTCTTTTTAAGTTATTTTGTAACTTAAGAATCTCATTTTGATATTTACTAATGGCCTGTCGAGATGAATAATCTCATCTTCAAGGATTTGTAGTTTTTCTTCTAATGAATGCTTTTTACGATTCAAATATCTAAAAACCTTGGTCACAATTTCACAACTATCACAAAGTTGTATTGATGAAAATGAAGATGATGGTTGAGAAAGCGGTTTGCATGGTCATAGTTTGTCTAACTTTTTCAATATATAAATCATATCTTTTCTCTACGAAAATTTAAAGTTTCTTCTAATGTGTAAAATCTTTTGAAAAAATGGTCTGAAAATATTTTTACTTCTTGTAATAATTTTGGCCAATAATTATATATACTAGAATTTTTGCCTTGAATTATTGCAAATAAAATAAAATAAAATTTCTACTTGATTGTGAATCTATCTAAAATGATTAGCTAAAATATTAATACTGCTTAATATTTGTTTAAAGTCACGTGTTATCCAGAGATTATCTAGTAGACAACGTTTCCTTTCTGGAATTTTTCTTAAATTATTTCCTCTAAATCGGAAATTAGATCCTTATGGAGCCACTCTTAGAGTGATATTCTCAAAGTTCATCATCCCCTGATCCATCTGCACCATGAAAATAATTGGTTAGAAAATTAAGTATTCAATATCTCACACAATTTTAATTTATGTCTTATTTTTATCAAATTTTGTTTTTAAATAAATTTTACTATAACGTCACAATCTAACCTCATTGTAAATTCAGTATTTAAAAATAATTTAAAACTTTCTATGATATCTAAAGGTAATTCTAATCATGGTAAATTTCGAACTTTTTTTTTTTAATCTTTTTAACTAGCACTATATTTGACTAATAAAAATGTTTTTGTCATTTGCTAGACAACTTATTATACAATGAACCTACTTTATTTCCTAAGTCTACTAAAATGTCTAGCATAATTCAAAATCCCTAAAAAGGCTTATAATTTCTTAGTTTTTTCAATTTTATCTGAAATTTCTAAAATTGTATGTACTATACGTTGTTGCAGCTTTATTTTTCCTTCTCTTAAAATTATTCCTAAAAACTCCATTTTTTGTTTATTTATTTCCTTCTTTTTACTTTTAATTAGACAATTTTCTATGAACTTATTTAAAACTATATCTAAATACTTCATATGTTCTTTATGATTTTTACTATGTACTAAATATCGTGTATATAACATAAATAAATGGAAAGAATTAAAAATACTATCCATCTTTCTTTGAAAACAGATAGTGCATTTTTAAATTCAAAATGCATGTCTAACAATTCAATGTCCTAGTGACGTAGTAAAAGTTATCCAGTGGATTCTACAAATAGAATCTTTTGCCCCTTTTATTTGTCAAAATCTAGATTTATATTCAAACTTTGAAAATATTTTACTATATTGTATTTTATTTATTAATATGTTTTTATCTTATATTTTATATTCATCTTCTATAGTATCATCATTTAGTCTTTTGTAATTTATAGCCATTCTTGTTTTTCCTCTTTTAATTTCACTATGTTGACCATTTGATGGTCTTATTACTTTTAAATCTAATAAATCTTTAATCTGTATGTTAGAATCTTCTATGTCTTGATTTGAATGTTTGATTTTTACGGTTCTAATTTTTATATTTTCGTTTATGATTTTTAATTTAGCTTCTATTTTATCTTTGGCATAATGTTTTATTGGGTTTTCTCTTATTATTTGAATCTTATAAACTAATTCTAAAATTCTATCTATGCTATCTACCTTAGATGGCTTTTTATTACAAATTATTAATTCTTAGTATAAAATCAATTTTTAAAATTTCTAAAGATAAATGTTTTAAACATTCCAAACTTTCTAAATTATCTAAATTTTCGTCAAAATCTAAACTTTCTCGTTATGTTTCTGTTGGTGAATTTAGAGGTCTACCACGCTTCACTTGCAACTTTGATGAATCTATAGTATTAATGATAGAGGTATTTTTTCCAAAAATTATAACATCAGGAGTAATTGTCAAACTTTCATTTCTATAAAAAAATTCATCTTTTATTAATTCGCTAACTAATGTAGTTGTAATACCATAAATTTTTATAAATCTTGAAGTGTTACCAAAGATTTTTCTCTTTGTATTAAAGGAGGAACAATAAAAATAAATTTCTTTATAAATGTCTTAGATTAAATTAAACTAACTAATAAATTTAAAGGCAGAAAAACTTAATGTGTATTTTTTTGTTTCCTTCTCTCTCTATAATGACTCCCTCTTTATTTTCTTTGTTGAAATAGTGGGAGTTCTCGCAATATTTATAGTGAAAATTCTCAACTGAGTTTGTATGCAACTAAAATTGATAAATTGTGTAATACAATAAATTTGAATAAGAATTGGTTTCAAGTAATAGAATTTGAATTCTATTCAAGTAATATTTTCATATCAAATAAAAATCACGTGGAGGTAGGAATTAAAAGAGAAAAAGAATTTTATTTAATTAATATTGCAAGCCCCCACAAACTCTATTAACCTATTATTCTTTTAATAGGACTTGACTTGATGTAATATAATCCAAAATAACATTTTCTCGTGTTGAAGACTTTTAATTAATTACAAATTACAAAAAGAGTCCAATATTGATATATTAAAATTTGCTCTATCAAAATCTAATTATTTGACACAATAATATAAGAATTTAAAGCATATTTCACTTTAGTCCTTCAGTTTTCAAAATATAATTATATAGCATACAAAATAAACAAACTTTATTCTATAAAATTTTTGGGGCATTACAACCCTCGCTCCTCAAAAGAATTTCGTTCTCGAAATTACCTCAGTTAGTTGAAAAGTTTTGAATACTTGACTTTATCATACTTATAATATTTCATGACATGAAGCAAGACAAATCAAAATTATGCTAAAAAAGAACATTTAATTTCATACCTTAGATTAATTAGAAAGTGGTTGAATAATGAGCGTTGTCTACCAAGAATTACATGTTTAAAACTTTAAATTTTTTTACATTGTACTTAAACTCCTAATACTTGTGAAAATACTTTATTTTTATTGTTACTACAAATTTCCTAAAATATGATTTTTCTGAAAATAGAAGTTTTTAAAATAGAACATTCTTAAAATTTGAATGGTTTGAAATTTAGTTTTTTGTCTTGTTGATTTGAATAATGCATAACGAAAAGGCATCCAAATGAGGAGGGGGTTACAAGTGGACTGCTTAAATCTCAAATTCTTCTTAGACAATTTAGATCTTTTTGATAAAATCTTTTGATCATGCAAATACGTAAATCAATAAAACTCAAACAATAAGCGTGAACTAGAGATATTTTAAAAAATATTTTTCAAATTGGTAAGTTCTTATTAAACTCATTTACATGAAAAAAAAAATGGTCCATAGAAAAGTAGACTCAAGCTCTGATGCCAAACTGTAACACTTCAAAATTTATGAAAATTTGGAGTGTTGCAGTAGTTGTTAAACTACGCCGTCTTTCTTGAAATTTAATCTTGCAGTCATGAAACATTTTTCTTCGGATCCCATTTTACTGCTATCCATTTGACTACCTCTTATTTTCATTTTCTAGTCTTTGTCTATAGTTTTCTGGAGCTAAATCTTTTCTAATTATATTAAATTACCTCATGTGTTTATTAATAGTTTTATCATTTTATTTATTTTTATTTCTATGGGTATTCTGAGACTTTTGGTTGGCTTTACATTTGACAAACTATTTCTTCTTGATTTTTTGTTTCTAAATGATTATTCTCTGTGTAATTATCTATAGGTTGTTTTCCTTTTGTTTATAAATTTTTAATCCAATATTTTATTTCTCCTAATGTTTCATATATTTCATCTATTCTATTATTTGTATCTATTATCCTATCTTCTAATCTTTCTATATTTTCACCGTGATATTTAGTTTTGTAATTAATTTATTCTTTAATTCCTAAACAATTATTACATTGGATTTCTAAGTAAATTTTACATTGATTTCTATTTTTATGTCCTAAGTATATTTTACATATTTTGCATTTATCCATCACTGATCATTAATATGCATTTATCCATCATTGATCATTATCATCTAATCCATTCATGAACACGTTCTTGTTCTATATTCATTATTTTTGTATTCAAAATCGAAAAATCTAGTTATTTTAAACTACTAATAGTAAGACGCACGTGCAATGCACGTGACACCGTATAATTGACTATGTAATAGCGTAGATACAAAAAAATTATTTGTATTAGTATTGAAAATATTTAATACACTAAGATAAAGTTTGAAATAATACTGTAATATGTAAACAGGGGGTGAGTGATATGCCCTGCTAAAGAGAGAATGAAATTCAACTTAGCTTGCCATTTTTCTACTTGTTGAGGGGCGCTCTAGTGCATCATAGATTCTTATCCAAGACTTGTATCATTTGATGATGCAATGTGAATCGAACTAATATTGGGTTATTTACACAGAGGAATGGAGAAAATTGCGGAAAGTAAGGCTTGATTTCCCATTCATTGTAGTTCATTGGTTATTAACCCATGTGCAGGGGATAGTGTCAAACTACCCATTTGTGTTTGAGTAGGCATATAAATCACAACTTAGATTTCAAAAATCAAGAGCAACTTGTTGAAAATAAACAAATAAAGAAAGATGTCACTAATTACAGAAATAGACATTGAGGTTGTTCAAGAATTTACCAAATTTAGGCAGATTGTGAAATTAATTTAAGGTTTTGCTAGTACCATTTAAAAAAAAAAAAAGAAAAAAGAAGAAGAAGCAGCAAAAATAGAACCCATAATTCTTAAATGCAAATGAGAGCATTGATAACGTAGTGAGAGAGAGGCAACATAATCAAACAATTAAATACTCAAGTTGTAGGCAAAAGGAAAATTAAACCAATATCAATCTACAGATGAGTAAAATGAAGCAACCATCAATTTACAATGCACTTGAAACTTCTTTGTATGATATTCATAAACAGCAACATATACATTACAATGAGAAGATAAAAAATTCAGCTTTGTATTACAACAAACACATGCGAATATATTACGCCGAGAAACAAAATAGTTCACATTGGCATTTTTACAAACACTTACAAAATAATTTATATTGGCATTTATACAAACACCTTAAATTTGTTGAGAGAAGCAACGTATAAAGGAAAGGAAGAAAATTAAGGTGTTTGCTACAAATTACAAATGGAACACTTGAGATGTGGAGAAAAACATATGGGGCTGTCAAAGACCACAATGAAGTTGGCTTGCCAATGTCAATTCTAATTTCAAGTAAAAATTTTAGTCCTTTTCTTAGGTTGTTAAAAAAGTAATGTATAGAACATTACGACTCAATAGAAGAACCCACAAATAATTTCAAGTTTGTTTAACAAAAAAATTCCTCATGAATGAATTCAAGAAACTAAGACAACCACAAAAAGATATAGAGAGAACTTACAAACATCTGTATTGAAAAAACAAAACTTTGCAAATGAATTTCGAATCACTCTTCCATTATGGCTGCACTACAAACTCTTCATCGATGTCAGGTCTCTTGCTCCTTGGCAAAATGAAGATGCAAGATTGAATTTTTAATAACAAATGAAATTTCAAGTAAAGGTAAGATTTCTTCTTTTACCTTTCTAATATTTATAGAAGCTGCAGTACATTTATGCTTTCCCTCTTATCTAGCAACTGAAAAAAGCATAAACAAATGAAAGTAATTTAGATACAAGTTAAGCTCCAAGATTTACAGTTTCACAAAAAAATAATAAAGAATGGAAAGATGACATTAAAGCACCAACTCTTCTACATGTTTGAATTATATTTGATTTTGGAACATTAGCATTGCCATGAACTTCCTCGTACAATTAAAAGAAAATTTTGTATCAGGTCAAATATGTTGAAGTAGAAAGATTGTCTAATCATGGAAATGTGGGAAGGTGACTAAAAACAAATGCTAAACTACTTTGTTGAAATATTGAGTAAATAAATATTCCTTTAGCAGCTCACACGTCATAACATCTATAAAATAGAATGCAACTAAGTCGAATTTTGATAGATGTGAATTTGGTTCATTCAATCCACCGCTAAGTCTATCGAGAGAATTATTAGATAGAAAATAAATTCACTACGACCTCATCAAACCCTATAAACAAGATATCGTCACACTGTTATATTGTGTTCAAAATATCAAAAAAGATATATATCTTAACTTCTCACCAATCATTTTCAGTAAAAGATGTGTCAAACCTAAAGTAACTGGAATAATGCTTATGGCAAAGCCCTTTCCCTTCCTTCACAATATATGCTTTGAATTTTGCTAACATGTGAGATGCATCAGGTGCAAAATAGTTGGTGAAAATGATTTCTTAGAGCAAGAAAATATGACAAAGAAGTAGATGAAATTAAATGATTATGGAACTACCATTGGGCCATTGATGTAATTGATGGTATTATGCTAATGTGGTAACATCAGTTCTTTAACACGATAATTACTAGATTTTTTTTTCCCAAATTCTCCAATTGGAATAGTCAAGTTCGTCAAAATAATAACAAAATTTCACATGGATACAAAAAGTCTCTTCCAAATGACTCTTCGATAAGATTAAAAAAGGGTACCCCTTCTATCATTAGCTTTATTCTATACATTGAAGTGATCCTAAAACTTGATAAAAACACAAAATATGACTAACATATATACTGATTTCCCATCATCATGATTTAGAGACTGAATTAGAGCAAGTCTATGGTGGCTTGTAAATAAGATTATAAATATGAGAGAGAGCCTGACAAACCTTTTTTTTCTCATACATATATTTGCACAAGGTTACCAAAGCTACGAAAGAGAGCGGAGCAAAAAAAGAGAGGATATATTACAATCTTAAAAAATCTTGAACATAATGGTGAACTCCCAGCAAAGAGCATATTGGAAGAAGATAATAAAATCCAGAATTTCACGTTAAAATCAAGTACGATCAGAGCTAATAGAAAATATGCATAGCAAACTTGCAGTTCTGCCCATTTATTCCCATATAATTGATGAAAAGAAGCTAGGACTAATAATTTCTCTTCAGTCCATGTGTCTTTTTTAACTACTAGATCTAGATGATCGTGCCACTTTAAGATCATGTGCAGCAATAGAACTTTAAAACATAGGCCACATCTTAACATCAGGTAAAAATATCAGAGGTTTAACTAAATTATGTAGATGATACATCTCTTGCTTTATTTATGATGAAAAAGTGTGCAACTGTCCTTAGAAGGATAAATAGAATCCAATCTTATGCTTTTCATGTGCAAATAATGACCCTTCAACCTATTTAAATGACGGAGTGTGTTGAAGACTATTTAAATAATATAAGCATGGTATTATCTAACAATTTAAACTTTTAGAGTTAGTGTTTAAATGGCGACTAAAGAAAACAAGAGGAAATCAAAGAAACATAACTTAATTGTGATATATTATTTAAACAAATGACTACCCGAAAGTATGTCTATTGTAGTTCTTTCTAACAAAAGAGTGTCAAACTATCATTATGAATATGGTCAAACTGATAAGTAAAGTAACGTTGAAAAAAAAAATATCGTAACATGATAACCTCATTTCAATATCTATATAAAGAAATAAAGAACCTTTATAAAGGTCCAAGAACCATGTCTACCAATCAATTTAAGAACTATCTTACATTTTATTATCTAAATTATTATCCACACAAGGAAAAAAATTAAGTGATGAAACAAGGGCATTTAGTATATAATTGTTTAACAGGAAAATAAACAATTTAATCATTTTTCTTGCATTGTAACTGGTCTAATAAGAGGACCGTGACAAGATTTGCTAAATTATGAATTGATTTCTTTGTACTACTCTAATCTAAGTATATGCCAAACATGTCCTTTAAGTTGGCAACTGGACAGAATTAACAAATTGTAGTAGCAGAAAAAAATACAAAGTAAAACTTACATTTCTACCATGCCTCAGTACATTATAAAGGAATCAATGACATCTTTAAAACCATTTTAATTATAGTACTCGGTCAAAATGTCCTTTTGAGTGCTAGCTATTGTGAAATCTTTTATATTTTGACATGACCTTTCCAAAAGGTCAATTGTTACTATAACAAACCAATGTGAGGACTCAAATGTAATGATTTACTATGTTGCAACTTACCCTTCTTCCCTTTGTGGAGCTTAGATTATGGATACAAATGAATATACAAGTAGAGCCAAGAGCTAGGGATCATTATTAATTCTCAGCTCAAGAACAACACATCTTCATATTCATTCCTTTAATTTGTTACTATAACATAATCTTAGACCATGCTTGGCTAACACTTATACACCATTTATTATTGATAGAACCACTTTTATTCACACATTTTACGGAACCACAAATACTACCCACTTATTTATCATTGGTTTCTATCTATTATAATTTAAACGGTTTACAAACACTTCTCAAACAGGTCAACTTTATTTTGTACATTGTGGATTTGAATAATTTTGTGAAGTTAAGGGAGTTAACAACACAATTCATTTATTTTAATTGCAGATAAATTATTCCAATTTGTCAGAATCTACTACGAATGGCAGGGATGTATCCATACAAAACACAATTCCTAAAATTCCTTAGGGGAAGAAATAGTTGCAGATGAAACATTTTAATCAATCATATTATCATAACCAAATACTAATCACAAAAATGTCACCACAAAATCCGATTGTGAGAATTCATGATGCAAATAGAAGTTGTAGTATAATTAATCGGAATCAAATATGAATAGGAAAAATATATCCACGCAAAACCCAATAGCTATAGTACATAAAAGGAAAGAGAAAATTGCAGACAAAATACTCGTGAATCGAAATCAAATGCGAAAAAAAAAAGCATCCATACCAAATCCAATTGCTAGAATTCAGAAGGGGAAACATAAAATACAAAATAAATACTCAAGTTAATCAAAATCAACTATTAATCGCAAAGATATATTGTTGGACAAAATGGGGAACATGGACTTGATTGCACAAAGGGCTTTAAAATAACTTTGCAGGAGGTTGTGGCGTGTGGCAATGAATAGGAGGGGATGAAACCTTTTTATAGTAGCATATTAACATTTACTTACCAAAAAATCTTTTTTCGATCATTCTCTCGGTCGTTTGCTTTCTCAACGATGAAAACTTCAAACCTCTACAAAAGAAAATAAAAACAAAAGATTAAAATTTTTGGGATGAAATGTCTAGCTAAATTAAGCAGTATAATGAAAAATAGAAAATAGAGAAGAACTAATTGTGTAGGAGAAGTGAAGCAAAAAAGAATGGTAGTTTGTGTGTGAAAATGGAGAAAGAGTGAGAAGAAATGGGAGAGAGAAAGAAGTATGTGAGAGAGAAGAAAGAAATGATAGTTGCGTGTGACATTGATGTAACAATTAAGTGATATACAACTCTATTCAGACAAGAATGGTTTTTAAAGGAAAAAAAATAGCTGTAAAGATGAACCCAAAACTATAAAAAAAAATTGGTAGCAAAAATAATAAAAAATGAAAGCAAACAGTAAAATTGCACGATTTCATAAAAACAGTACCATCAAGAACTGCCTCTTTTAATTTTGTAATGATAACAATCTTCATAACAAATTATTTTTAAATTATCTAATTCTTTGTCTATGTAAATACTATATATTGAACTACAAAATTCATTATCTACTTCTTTAATTATCATAGATTTAGCTATATTTTCTCTACTTTTATTTTTATTGGGCACTTACTTGCAAAATGTTTACGGTCTCCACAAATATAACATCTACAGTCTTTTTTATTTCTCGACTTTTTAACTTATCTATTATAATTTGGTCTTTTGTTTTTATAATATGTTCTACATGGTCTAATATTATACTTTTTTCTATCTTGATATTGTCTTTTATATATATGCATTTTATTCTTTTTATACAATTTTGTCTTTATTCTTTTATAATCATAGATTCAGGGCGTATATAAATTTGAACAAAAAGAATAATTTAATTTCTTTATTTGCTTTCTAACTACTTTTTCTACACAATATTCTTTTAGTTTATCAGTCATAAATTTTATAGTAGCTCTCACAGTTACATCTCTTGTTGGTGCTGACTCTATATCTTTTTTAATCTAAGCATTCCATGGTGGTTATATCTTTCTATTTATCCTTTCAAGTATAGGTATATCTAATGCTAAATTTAATATACTTGCTAATATTTCAAAGTCTAATAAAAATGGTTGTACATATACTTCATATCACTAATACTTAATTTTTCTAATTCTTCTAAGGTTTTATTTTGTTCACAAGTGCTATCTCTACTGTATCAGATCCTATAATTAATTCTCTAATAAAACTTGTAAAATTTCTAGGATTATTTCCTCCGGCCATTCTTAATCTAATTTCTTCTCGATTTGGTCTTTTAGCCGTAACATATATGTCTAATGCTGTCTTTCTTAAATACGTTTCTAAATAAGCTCATATTTCTTCTACAATCATTTGTATAGGTACACCATTATATGCTCTATTTATAGAAATTTTCCATTTAGTTATAGTACTATAAGTCCATCTTGAGATTTACAATTATTTAATTCTAAAATTAATCATATGTCACTTGCTAAAAAATTGTTTCCGAAATGAATTTCTTTGTAGGGATATCTTTTATACCTTTTTGTCCTAATAATATAATTATTTGATTATTTTCAAATTTATAAATTGGTAGTACTGTTATCATTAAGTCTCTTTATGAATCCTGTGCAAATTAATAAATTTTCTTTATCCCTATCTTTTAACTTTTATTCCTATTTTAATATCTTTATAAAAACTTTTTTGTTTAACTGAATAATCTGGTGTAAGTATACTATTCCTCCTTTATTATTCATGTCTAATTCTATGCTTCATAATAGTCATTATTCTATGTCCGTGAATCTGCAGTCATTTAAACTAATACTTTGACTCCAGAATTTTCTTTATGAAGTCCTTTTATTCCTATTATTATTAATTCTAAATGAATCTTTTAAAGATTTTTATTAACAATTTCTTTTAAACCACAAGCAACAGTAAACTTGAACGAAATTTTTTCTTTCTACAAGAAACAAAAATTTGAATGATTTTGGAGTTTTTACAAGAGATTTTGATGTTATGTTCAATACAAATGATATTGAATGCATAATGAACGTCTAAAAGGTCCTATTTATAAAAGATGAGAGGTTGCAAGTGAAAAAACACGTCCCAAAACTTAGCAACCCTCTAGAAGGGACACATCCTTTTTGTTGCCAACCTATCGCTAGCCTCTAGCTCAAGCGCCAGTGACATATTTTCAACAAAAAATTTTTGCTCGCCTGTCATTAGTCTATTACTCGAGCGATAGCTTCTCTGTTCGCTTGACCACTTGAGCAACAATGCTATATGATTTTTCATCTTTTTTCCTTGTTTTTCTTTCCAACTTTGGACTATAATTTCTCATTCATCCTGGATTGATTTTGAGATTCTAAATTTGCTTCTCTTTGATGGAAGTTTGATTTTCCCATAATGTATCCTAATTTTTGGCCTAATTCTTTTTCTGATGATCGAATCAACCTCTGAAAAAAATATACCTCGGTTATGTTTCATCTCTTCAACAATTTTATAATATGACGATCTATTCGATGAGTAGAAACAATTAGTCTATTTATTTTTATAATTTGATTATTGGATCAAGTTTAAATATTTGGTCGAAGTTGACACAAACTCACTTTTCAAGTTTATACTTAACCAAAATTTTAAATTTTTAAAACAAATTTCAACAATCCCTCATGTGAATGAAAATTCAATCATGTTCATGCAAAATTCCCTTGTTGTTCGCAGCCCGTCACAAATTTGGAGACTTTAGAGGTAAAGTATGATGGCGAATATTTAGCCTTAATCCTTTTGTGTTCGCTGCCCGTTTCGTTTAGAGACACGTTTTTGTATAGTTATTGATAAGTGCATTTTTACCCACTTATTTAGGCTACAAAACATGACTATTTCTTGTAAATATAGTGGAATATGACTTAATTCTATGAAATTTTTTTATATAGGTCACGTTGATGGATATAATGGAATTCACAAGAAAAGACACAAAAAGAGCCAAAACAAAAAAATATATGAAAGTTTAGGGACCAAAGTGCAATTATCCAAAAGATGACCCAAAGAAGGAATCGACGACTTGAATGAGCTAAGCACCAATTGGATGCTATTATGGATAGATGGAATGAGAAAATGAGGAAAAAAGGTCAAAATAGGAGTAAATCAAGTTTAGTGACTAATTGACACAATCTGGAAGTGTATACTACTATGCAGTAACATAGTAGTAAACTTCATGCGGTCGCTTCCACCCCAGCAGGGATTTCAAAGGCCTAAATTTATTTAACTATGCGGTCGCATTGCTTGAAGCTATGCAATCGCATAGATCTTTTCAGGGGTCAAATTCTGTAATTTCCTATTTTCATTAAAACTCTTATGAAACCTCGTTGGGATACGATATAAAACCCTAAAGCCATCATGTAGAAGGGAAAATGCATTGGAAATGGAAAAAAACGTATTGAAGAGAATTTGGAACCACAACAACAAAGAAAAACACAAAAATCGACCGAATTTCAAGCAATTATTTAAATTGATGATGTTATTTCTTCAAGCTATTATGTATTTTGTATTTTTCTCCATGCTAGGCTAGAAATTCTTGTACTAGGAGATCAATGAATCTTGTAATGTGATTTTTAATTCCTTTTTCTATATTTTTGACATTAAAACAACTATTGAATATTTTGAATGGTTTGTATACATTTAATTTTTTCCATAATTTTTGGGCCCGTAATTGTGTGATGAGGTGATCTATTTCTTGCATTCAAAAGAAGGAGAGTAGGTTTAACAAGCTATAAATTATCGTAGAGTCCGATAAGGGATAAAGATATACAGCTATACTCTGCGTGAATTGTTAAGTGCTCACATAACTACATGCATTCTTGTATAATTGTACCCATCATAGAGATATATACTGGTGGTATATGAGAGTAGGTTTAATTTTGCTTGAGAGAGATTGTTGGATAGATTAAAGAGCATTGATTCTTCATGATTTCAACGTGTTGTCAAATTATAGAACTAGGGTTGAATTGAACATTAATTGAGGTTTATGATCCTAGATCATTATACATCGATTGAATTCATCAATTTGCATTTTAAACATTCAATTTGCATTTTTAGTTCATCTAAGCGTCAATGTCCATTTTAATTCATTCAAATCATACACTTTTGCATACTGAGTTTAGGTCACGGCTTAATTAAGTTATAAAATCACTTTTGTAATTTTGTTTTGGTTAAGGTCAAGATAAATAAAATTAAGCTACTCAATCTTTTTGGAATGATATTCAGATTCTAAAATCTACTTTATTACTTGTTGCGAATCGTACATTTGCGGGTACAAAATGAAAGAAATATTTTGTGAACAAGTTTTTGACGCCATTACTGGGGATTGAGTATTCGTTTAATCTTGTTTACCTTGGAGCTAATTTGAACATTATTTTGTGTTCTTTATTTTGTTTTGCCTTATTTTATTTTGTTATTTCAATTTTTTTTAGTATCTAAGTGCTACCACAGATTTTTCTCGCAGATTTGCATGCTAAGATCAACTGGAGGAAACCTATTTCCAGTCGATCCAAAAATTGACCGAACTTTTTATCGAATGCAGGAAGAAGCTAGGAAAGCACAACAACAAATGGCTAATGTGCAGAATAATCATATCTTTCAAGCCAATGAAGAAAGGGCGACGAATGAAGGTAACATGCTTGTAGGAGACTTCATGACCCCGCAAATAATTTAAAGCCAGTCAAGCATTGTGTATCCACCATTTGGGTAGCCTAACTTCCAATTGAAGACCAACGTGATATAACTATTTCAAAATGGACATCAATTTTACGGCAGAGCTGAAGAAAATCTACACACGCACGTCTCTCACTTCTTTGAGATGTGCCAACATTTTAGATATCAGGAAATCTAAGACGATGCTATCAGATTGAGGCTGCTCCCACATACACTATGCGACAAGGCAATAGAATGACTAGACTCTCAACCAATCATCAACATCACTACTTCGAACGATCTAGCACATAAGTTCTGCACCAATTTCTTCCTACCTGCCAAGATTGTAAAGTTAAAGCATGAAATATCTATTTTCCATCAACGCGACTCAAAAAACATTTACGAAGCCTGGAATATGTCAAAAACATGCTGTGAAAGTGTTTACATCATGAGATTAGCAAGGGACTCCATGTCCAATATTTTTACGCGAGATTACTTCCAGCCTTCAAAAGTATGGTTGACTCATTATCTAATGAGTCGTTGTCC